TTTTTTCAACAACGATAATGAACAGAAGGTGTTGAAATGGAGGTGGTAAGGAAAGAAGATGTTTCAGTTGCATAACTTCTAAACTATTTGTCTTAGTCGTATTTATTGATGGAAGCATTCACTAGTGTTCAGTTCGGTTCAGTTTTTTTGTCATCGGAATTTTTTTGAACATCATTCTTTATATATGATTTGGTATGACGCATTTTGCTGACTAATGCTCAATGAGCGTATTCGATTGTAAGTGTGTTATCGTAGTTGTTGTCGTTTACCGATGACTCATATTTCCATTCCTGTATTTTTTTTATTTTTTATTTTAAAATTTTTTGCTTCAGTTTTTTATAGGGAGTCAAGGTTTTTTAAAACTACTCCTCTATTTTTTTAGTACCAAAATTTCCGTATTTTTGCGCTTATCGATAAATATCTTTGTAAGTGGCAATCAGAGCAACAAGGCTAGTGAATGTTAGTATTTTTTGAAAATCTTCTTAACTTTTTTTTGCAGAACAGATTCTTTCACTTTCTGAATTTTTAAATAATAATATCGATTTGTTCAACTCGATAGGTTTAGTAATCACAACTTAGTCGTTAGTCGGTAAAAGAGGTTTGGGAAATTTGACTTCGTTCTGGAATAGATTGAGTTGTACGTAGTGGCTAATAAACAATAAGCTCTTTTTGAGAAATTCTTCATTTAAGATTTTTGTTCGGGGTTATTATTGATCAGAGTCACCGTTTTCAGTGAATGTAAAGTGGATGTACAAAAAGCTTTTAGTTTTTGAAATTTGGCTGAAAATTAACTTTACATCATTAAAAAGTACTGACTATGAACCAAAATTTTTTTGATCTCTTAAGTCAATAAAAAATGCTATTTTTAAATGTCGGTTAAGCAGTTGATGAGGCGAGAGAAAAAACTGTTTTTTGAATATTGTGGTCATATGAACCATTTGGAGGGATGAAAAGGGAAACCCAGGAAGGATATGTTTGGTTAGCAGACTGATCAAATATTATTCCTGGCTTCCAAAGGGTTACTGAATATTAATCATTGTGGATGTTTAGAAGATGCTCAGCTTTACGGCACAGTTAGTTTTGTCAGATCAAACTGAGAAGAATTAACATCTAAGGGGCCGAATGCTTATTGTCATTCCGAACGGATATATTCGCCATTGAAAAGCACATACAAGTGCGGAGCGATTTTGCAAAATTTGTATCAGATTTCTTTGTAACTGCGATAAATGCTGCTTTTGTATTAGCAGAAGTGCAGCATAGCTGCAGCAAGTGAACTGGTATAAATATCGGTTGGTCGAATGATGTTGGAATCTATTGGATGGTTATTGGTGAGTCAAAAGTTACGTGGTAGAAGGCCAGTTTTTGTTGAAATGCATTTTGCTGTACTTGGTTGAAATTACTGCTACTGTAGGTAGGATGATTGAGTTTACTGAGTTTTACGAGAATTTCAAGCTCTTATTGAGTGTTTGTCTTGGAATATGCGAAAATGGTCTGCATTTAACAGCTTGTTTCGAGTGGTTATTACGTTTGAGTGGATTAAGTTTACCTGCATGAAGTTCCTCTGCTGTAAGTCTCAGGTGTCTGCCACGAATTACTTCGTTCAGTGATGTAGATAAGGTAGCAGCATATAATGTTCTTAATTAATCGTATCCACTCCTTGTATTTGTTAAGGATTTGAAGTGGATGGCAGTTGTATTTGCAGCTGTTATATTTTCGTCCCTTGGTCTGTTTTTATAACATAGTCAATTTATTCGTTTTCGGACTAGCGTCGGATATTTTTTTGTTAATACCCTAAATTTATTCAATGTTTGATACAGTTACCGCCTGGAAACCACTGTTTTGCACACCAAAAAAAAAGAAAAAAAATGGAACGAAAGGGAGTCAGTTTACTTCAGGAGTTTTATAGACCTGAAAAAATGTGGTTTAGTGATTTAGTTTCTATGTCTTCTACTATATACAAGGAACCATGAATATATGGTCAGACGGATATACATATATATATTAAATTTATTTATATTTATTGGCTTATGTGTTTATTTATATTCGCTTAGTTGTATGTTTGTTTTTATTTATTGTTTAAGTTACGTTTAATTAAAACTGTGGACCAATTGATCTTGTTTAGTTGGCAGGTTTTATGGTTAAATATATACAAGCATTCTGTTAAATCAAAATTCCCAACACTGGCGTAAATGGGTGCAAAAAGATCTTTCAACTTTTGTGCAGAATTATGATAGTCAGGTGCATTTTTTTCCTGCGGCTTCTTTCTTCTTAAGTAGACAAGAAAAAGCCCTTTCATGATTTTACAGTTTGCCTCAATTTCGTCTCACCTCCAAAATATCAGCTTGTTATCGTGATAGTAGCGGTTTATGAGCAGTATTTTCGACCATCAACTTCTACACTTTCCAGTTTCTCCGTTGGGTAAATTTTTATGCTATAATCAACATGACTTTCTGTAAAGCGCTTGGTGCTAGAGTTAAGTGCCAGTTAAATTTTTTAACGAATAATATCGGTTGCTTCAAAACTGTTCGGATAAAAAAAAAAAGCAACGTTTGCATTTTTGATTTATATGCAATGGGCAGATATTTCAGAATTTTCTGTCAAGGATAAACCAGTAGAAAATATATTTATTTATGAATGCTGAGCAGCCAGGCGACACACCTTCATCAGTAAAAGAAATACGCAATCGTCTGGAAAGTCGGCTCAAGTCACCCCTTCTTCCTTCAGATTGTTCTCCTTCAACGTATTTCGCTAAAACTGCATCGTGTGATCAAAAGGATTCGCACAGTAAGATGGTTACTCAGAAAGGCAAGTATATATACGTAGCTTTCATTTACAAATATATGTATATATGTGTGGTATAGTTTATGTATTTTTTGTTATGGGCACTTTGTTTCCTCTGGTTGTTACTGGTCTGTTTAGTTTCAAATCTTGGGTTGATGATTTGGGTTTAAATTACTGTTATTTTCAGTTGGAAACGGTGTTGAACAGCTGAATGGAACTTCGCCTGTTTCTGAGGGGAAACCAGCATACAGGGCACGCCCTCCTGTAGCACCTAAACCTTGTTTGAAAGTAGTATATTTTTTTTACATTCAGCAATTTTGAAAGCTTTACAATTTCTGTTTGTTGGGCATTTTCTAAATTGTTGGAAGGAATAAGGATTTTTTCTCGCTCACTTTTATTACCAGATAGTATTGTAAATCTTTTAGTTATAAATTTTTATGGCAACAGTATTTTTTCGTAGTTAACCCGCTTTTTGAAAAGGTAGTGACTGGGAATTATTAAGCGAGTAGTTGTGTTTCGAGATTACTCGTTTTTTTGGTTTATTTCTTTTTGTTTGTTTGGTCACAACAACTTACTGATTTTAAGAATTCTATCTCAAAAGATATATGTAGTCACAAAGGACTTTGGTCAATTTATTAGCTCACGTTCTTTCATGCCACAAAAAATTGTCTTAAGCTGTTTTCGCACTGTGTTCTGACGTTTAGGACAGTTTTCGAGGCAACATTTTGAGCCAGAAGTGCTGGTTCCTGGTAGTTCCATTTAAGGAGCCAACACTTTCTTTATAGTCTGCCGAATTTGGAAAGATGAATATCAAAATGGGAACTGTAAAAGTTCATGAGAAGAAAAAGAGAAGTAGTGTTAGAAATAGATTTCAAATAAACTATGACTTGAGAGTGGCGGAAGAATTTGTTTTTGATGTGTTATAAGACAGCTTGATGGTTTCGCACTTCTTCGGCTGGTTCTACCTAACACTTATTTCCAATTTCGGTCATGTTTGGCTTAATGTAGTAAACTTTTTTTAAGTACTTTTAAGTCATTGGTGTTATTTTTATAGGCGCTGGGAAGGCCGCAACACTATCCAGGCCCGTCGGTTAGGAAGTCATCTTTGCCTATCGGACGGTATGAGTACCAGTATTTTTTTTTAGAAAACCATATTTTTTTGAACATAAAGTAAAAGTTTTTAAAGTACATTACGAAAAGCATTTAAAAAGGTTTTTCTTCTTCCTCATCAATCTAACTAAGAATTTTTGGTGTTAAATTGTCGGTGCAGTAAGGATTTTGATGATACTTCGAGAGATGTGTCTTCTGCAGTAAACGTACGTGAAACTGCTGCACGTTTTAATAACTTTATATCAAGCGGTGTGATGGGAATGGGTCCATCGAATGACTCCGATGGTGAAACTGGTGAAACTGTAGAAGACGTTTGGTAGTTTTTTTATCTTTTACGGCTAAATTGCCATTTTACCACGTTTTAAATTTTTTATTTACTTCAACACATGCTTATTTCCGAGCAGAGTTTTACTTAATAATTTACCGAAGGTGTTTAGTGCACCAGCATTTCACTCTTTGGCTTGGAACGATGAGTCGTCTGACTCTAGTGATTCTAATGAGCCCGATACTCCAGTGTCGTCGCAACAGATACTCACTTTAGCGCCTTTCAAGAGCACGGAGGAATTACCTCTAGAGTAGTACCATTTTTAGTTCTCACCGGGTTTCCGTTGGTGGTCAGATACTAGTAGCTGTAGCTGAGACTACACTTACGAACTAAATTTTAATGAAACTGTGGCAGCTCTGTTTTAAGTTTTTGAATTGTTTGTTGGTTTAGGGAAGGACGAAAGGCGTACACATATGCTGGTCGGTTTATGCCTGCAGAAATGATGGAGAAGCTAAAAAACTTCAAGTCTCCAAATTATAATAGAACTTCTTTGTTAGGGTAAAACTAAATTTGTTTTTGTCTTCCTTGTCTTATTGAGATGTCATTCAATTTTTTACAATACCAGTGTCTTTTGAGGGAAAAACCGACGTTAGGAGGTGCCCAGACTATGTATCCGAGCGTAGCTGGGTCAGATTTGGGGGAATTGCGACAGCCGAGTGTTAGAAAGGTTTTAGTTGACAAATTTCCTTGATTCTGCGAATTCTGTGTAGAAATGCCGTATTTTAGGCCAGAGAAGTGTGCAGTGATTCTTTTGAAGGAAGAGCTAACGAAATAGCTATTGTTAACTTTCGTCCGGGTTTTGATATTATCAATTCAAAAAGATCGATTGATCCATCATTTTCACAAACTGGTCCTTTAAGCGATGCCAGTACTGCTACGTCATCTTCAGCGAGCAGCCAGCAGAGCGAACTAGTCATCTATAATACGGGAGATCCAGAAGAGGTATGCACTTTTAGCAGTTGTACGAAGAAATTTACTCCTGAACCTTGCCTTGTATTGTGTCTTGATTATGTCTCTGTTTAAATTGGTTTTCAGAAGGTTTTTTAAACCATTTTCTATACTCAGTTTTCTCTATTTTCATAATTTGGTTGTTCTTGAAAGTGTGTTTTTCTTTAGCAGTTATATTTCACGTGGGATTTGTTATTGAGTTTTAGGATCTACGATTGAGAAAACTGCATTATGCTGCGCAGGAAATTTATACTGTGGAAAGGAACTACGTGCAAGAATTGAACCTTATTGCTGTTGTGAGTATTTAATTACAATTCTGAGGCTGAATGTATATCCTTTCAACTTTTTTGAGTTTGAGAAATAGTCTTGAATTTGTAAGTTTAGAAATATCCTGAATTTCTTGCTGAATATGGCGAAAAGCATGGCGTAAATTTGCTTGCAACGTCTGATGGTCGGCCTCACATCGTTACCGAAATAAAGACGCAGTTGTTAATGATTAAGGAAGCTCATTGTATTTTACTGGAAAAATTCGCAGCAAAAATGGATCACTGGTATTGCAGCTTTAGTTGCACACAATTCGATTATGAGTCTGAGGACTTCTTTCTTTAGTTATTTTTCATCAAATTGCTTTCTGTGCTAAAGCATTTAGCTACGTATTGATTGTGTTTTAGGGATTCTCGGAAGCCTAACATGTCTGAGTGTTTGAAGAATAACTATAGTTTTTTAAAATTTTGTTTGCCATTTTTGAAGTCAAAGAAGAAATACGCTGACGAGTTAATGAAAGCACTACGAGAAGATGAAGAATTTGCAAATGTTACTACAAAGGTTTGTTTAATCTAACAGTTTTGTTGAACAACGGTTCTGTTTTGGTGCTATTTTAATAGTTGTTTGTTCATTGAATTAATAATTGGTAACTCATTTACTTTGTTTTAAAGATTCCTAATTTAGTTTGAGAGCCAGACTCCTTCTCGGATATCAGTGTTGCAAAGATTAGACATTGTTCATCAGAACGTTGTACGCTACACAATACTAATGGAATCGTACAAAAAATATCTTCTTAAGGATTCACGAGAGATGACCGAGTGCCAAAGTTTGATTTTATTTTAGCTTTCCTGAGATGTATGCACGTTAAATGTTCTTAATTACGCCCTTTCTGGTTTTGCAGGTGCGATAATGGAATTGTCCAAAGTTTCCCAATTAGTCAATCAACAAATAAATCTTGCTGAAATGGATAAGAAGTTGCTTACTCTATACGAACGTTTAGAGGTCCCACTTAGCGAATTAATTTTTTAATATTTTTGTTTTTTTTTATTTCAGTTGCAGTTGACCTGCTTTACAGGGAAGATTTAATGTCTTCGAAGCAAACCGCCATTTACTGTGCGAAGGTGAACTTATGAAGCAGTCAAGGAAAGAACTTCAACCTCGCTATTTAATTTTGGTTAGTTATTTTGGTTCTTATATATATCCTCTCCTCTCGAATCTAGCCATCAGTTCCTTACGTGGTAAAACGTCTTATAGTTTTCCGATGTACTCCTGATCTGTAAATATTCGAGAGGACCTTCGCTGAGTTCGACTTCTTTCCAGACAGATTTTTACCAGTTTCCAGTTACAAGTATTCGAGTTCGCGCTGAAGGGCATGGAGAGTTTGAAACTCATTTCCAGCTGTTAACCATGAAGAAGAGTTCTGTTTATATTGCTAAGTAATTTTTATTTTATTTTTGCTTTTTTTTTTTGGTTTTTATAAATCCAGAATTTTTGGATAAGCTAATTATTGTTTACGTTTGTTTGTAAATCGGCCTACAACGGTGACTGTTGTGCTGAACTTTAGCGGGGAGAACTGAGAAGAAGTAATACACTAATTTTAACGAATTAAATACGCTGATTAGACCAGAAAGCACCGAAGCGATGTATTTTTTTAAACAAATTTGCAGAAGATAGCGGCGAGGAAAAGTGGTTGAATGCATTTGGTGGCTCCCACTTAGTTTACGGATTTCTTTTGTTTCTCTCGAGTTAAATTTTTTGTTTTGAAAGCGTTGGTTAGGGGTGGGGAGGAGGCGACAAAATATTAAGTTACGGTAACTTGGCAAAAAAGGGATTTGTTTCGAGCTTTAGGTTTGTTCTTTGACATTTAGATGTTGTGATTTTGAGCCAACGCATGGATAAGTATATAAATATTAATTTATAAATAAATATATATTTGCTCCTATATGTATTGATGATTAATTGATTTTTGATACTCAATGGGGAAATCAGAGAGGATTGCCTCGAAAAAATTTATAAGTACGTCTTAAAATTTTCTTTTTTTTCTGGTTTTTTGTCCGACTTATGAATGTGTCTCTTTCACCACTTTTCTGAGTCTGCAGGAGGGATCCTCTCAAGTGAAGAAAAACTATCAAAAATCTTTGGGAACGAACAGTGCTGCAGTTTTCTTCAGAGGACTTTGTAGAAGAAACTATAATTTTTCTACGTTTTAGAACAGTCTAATTGCGCCGCTAGCACGCTTTTTGGGCATACTTTTTGCTTTTGCTCTTAGGTTTTTAAAAATACATTTTGTGTAGAATTTTCTGCTTTATAAAATACCGAAAATTGGCGATCACCTTGTCTTGGAATCAAGTCGCTAAAACCGTTTTTTTCAGTCTCATATTTCTTTTCAGCCTTGGACCGCTTACCCGCTTTTTGCGGTAGCTCTACGCTTTTTACAGTGGCAAAACCATCTTCAGCTACTTCCGGAAGTCAGAAAAAGCGATTGTAAAAGCCCGGCATATTTTTATCGTTGAAGATTTGATAAAAAAGTACTTCATAATATTAGCAAATTGTTATTTTGCAGAGTTCAAAGGGGGAATCCTTATTTTAGCGTCTTTTTCTTATCTTATTCTTGCCAAAATTTTGCAAAAAAATACGTATTTTGACGTCACTAGGAGGTACAACAGCCTATTGTTTTAGCCAGTTTTAAGTGTAGGGCGCAAGGCTTCTTTAAAGTTCTAATGGTCTAGCCGATTTAAGTAGTTACAGAATCGATGTTAAGAGGGAGTGTGATTAACTCATGTTTATTTCTACGGCTGTAACTCGGAGGGTTAGGCTGTGAGTACGTTTCTAAGAACTTGGAAGTCTCTCTCTTTGCTAGTGTCTGAAATACCGAAATAAGAGTTCTTGTATTTCGTGCATTCTTTAAGTAAAAACTTCTGTGAGGCTTGCTTGGCATTAGACATCATTGATACTTTTATTTTTTATGAACCAAATGCTTATCATCAACTTATTTAGTCAAGCATAGAATGAAGAAAGCAGAAAACTGGACTAGAAGTTAGTTAGTTTTGCTTTGCAGAATAATAATTTATTATTTTTTTAGCGAAACGTAAGTTTTTTAAAAAATCTTTAGCGGCCAGAAAATATCTGGTTTTCGGCAGCAGCTGAAGGCGGGTGTTGTCGTTGCAAAATACACGAGGTTGTTATAACAGCAGTGGATCTTTTTTAGTTCTATTTTTCTTTTTGGCTTATAACTCTAAATTTTAGCAAAGGGGCGTCACCAGGTTTGTGATATAATGTAGAGCAAAAAATTTTATACAAAAAATACTTTAAAAAATTTTTTTTGATTTTCTATTTTTTAAATCTTTTGAAATGTTTAGTAAAATTAAATAATATAATGTGATCCTAAGGGTAAAAGATCTGATAACTAACAGACTAAAAACTTTAGATTTTATCAAGGTTGAACTGAATTGCAGTTGATTGAAGACAGGTATTTTGTTTAAAAACATGGATTTTGCAGTTTGAAGGAATGTAATTTTGCGGAGAAATCATTTTTCCCGGTTTCATCTTCGGTTTTCTGTGTAGTAGCGTAGACCATGCCGATGCATAAAGTTTGGTAGAATACTAAGGTTTTAATTGGCATACTTTTTCATTCATATCTTAGGATATTTTAAATTTTTTTGATCGATAGAGTTTTGGCTAATACACAGCAAGCCGAAAAAAATCCGGAAAAGTAGGTCACCCGCCAAGTTAAACCCTCTCAAAGTTGCAAAATTTGTCAGGTTGCTGCTCGAAATGCTGCTCTTCGCAGATTTGTAATTTAGCCCGTCATTAACAAAATTCAGTGTTCTTTAGTTTAGTACGTTTGTCACTTTCAAGTGCAAATCAAATAATTTGTGTAAAAAACTTTCATAATATAATAAAAGCAAGATTTCAAACAATTAGAAAGAACGTACCTTTAAATTTTTCAAAAAGACATATTTTGTGTAGAATTTGTTGTAGAGTTTTTTGCTCTACAAAGTTTCAAAATTTGGTGATGACGTTTCTTTGGTATCAAGAGTTTCATGCGGAAATGAGAAAATGCGCTGCGTTTACAGTAATCTCCTGTATTTTGCAGTAGGGAAACAGCATATATATATATTTGTGAAATCTATTTACTTCTTTTAGGAGTAAAATGGAACGTGATGGTTGGGTTAAACGTTTAAATGATGCTAAAGAAGAAGCAAGGAAGTTACGATTCAGTAATCCTTTGCGAAGAGAAAAGGTTATCGCTTGACTTTGAGAGCGATTTCAAGTCTTTTTCTTTTTAATTTCACATAGGCTATTTGTTTATATTGCAGGTTGTCGGTCCGACGCCCAGCATCCCGGAAAGTGATTATACGACTATTCCAGAACCGGACAGTCCGTTAAATACTACTCATTCACCACCCATTGAACAGTTAGACAGTGATTCATACTCAAAATACTTACCTGTGAGTGAAAAGTATGCCGCCACTTGGATTCCTGATCCAAAAGCTACTACGTGTATGATGGCTGGTTGTAGTACGGAGTTTAATTTTTTCAACCGTCGACATCACTGCAGAAATTGCGGCTGGGTAATGATTTTCGCATGTTTATTAGGTCCACTTTTTCAGGATGTTTCAATGAATGTTTGATGCTGGAAAGTCTGAACCATTCATTTTCATTTTTTTTAGTTAATCTGTGGATCTTGCGTTGGACATGCACCAGTTAAGAAGGGTGCTTCTTCTGTTCGCGCCAAAGTTTGTCCCCAATGTTATTCTCAGATCCTACAGAAGTGTAAGATTTTCTCCTGTTTTTGAGATGTTTGAAGTTTTTATTTTCCGGTTTTGCAGTACTAAAATATTTTGACTCGAAATGGTGTCTTTTTGGTTTCAGGGGTTGGTGACCCTGATAATTTCTTTATACCTCCGCGGGGAGGTGTTCGCAAGAAGCAGGAGGTACCTTCCAGAAATGATGAAGATATTATTTCTGGAACAGTTTTTATCAGGTTAACTCTACTGTTCCCGGATAATTACAATTTTTCGTAAGCGTGAGTAGCACTTGAAGAAATTTTACTTTTAGAAACAAGAAGGCTGGGGAGACTGAAAGGTGGGGTCGTTTGGAGCAGCATGATGGTGGTGTTTTGGTCTTTCTTGTTTATCCAGCAGAATTTGTAAGTCTTGTGGTTTAGCAGCGTATTAATGGATAATTTTGTTGTGTAATTTGCGAGGTCCATTTTTGGTTCGGAGGGTTTTTACAACGGATTTTTGTAGGATTCGACTCCTCTTGAGCGGTTCGTTTTGGTTGGCTTTAAATTGGAAGAGAAGGATTTAGAAGAGGGTGGAAGACTATTTGAATTGCGACATACGAACCAAATTGAGGGTAATGCGATTACCTTCGCCTTTCGCGTTGCTCATTCTGGAAATGCGCAGAGGTGACTTTTTCCATCTGAAAAAGGTTTTAGTCAGGAAACATTATTGACCTAGCCAAATAATGTTTTAATTGTTTTCGCCTGTTCCTTTTTAAAAATCAAAATTTCAAACCTAACAGAATAAAAAATTGGTTTAGATGGTCTCGAGCGTTGTCAGAAGGTTTGGAATCATTTACTGCTAGCTGATTAACTTGTTATTTGCCTCAACTGCTGTTGTCCTTTGAGTACGAAAGTGCTAGACTTTCCGGATATTCGTGCAAATTTATCTGTGATAAATCTTTTTTGCGAGCCGTAATCACCTTAAAGTTGCGTTGATTTTTTTGTGGAACAGAGGAGATGGAAGAGAAAGCGGTAGGATATTGTAGGACGAGTAAATTTTCAAGGGTATGTCTAAGGCCATATTTTGCCGTTTTAAGGGTCGTTGATTTAAAGAAAGGGGAGGGTGGGGGATGACTAAAATTGAGTGTTTACCTCATTTTGTTGCCAGTGGTTTTCAAAATAACTCTTTTAAGTTTTTGATTACAAATAGCATATTAAATATAGCCAGTTTTATGCTGGAGAATACTTGTACGGGAGCTTGCCGGTTTTTTCTAAACTTTATTTTGTGAATGTCTAGTGACTGCGGTTACTCAAGGCTTGGACTGATTTTTTGGGCTGAGGCAGCAAAAACGGTACAGTAACGAAAATAGTACATACATTAAATTAAGATTGGTTCTGACATGAACTGCTTAGTGAGAAAAATGGCACTTGCGAGTTGTTCAATAGTTCGCGTTTGAGGCAGTAGTTTGTTAGCAGGTTTAAGGGCTGCAAGGCTTACTACCAGAAATTGTAAAAAAGATTGGAGTCACCGGTCTTTTTTTTGAAAAGCAGTACTGGTTTATAACATCCAAATCTTACCCATTTTTATGGTGAAGGTGCTTAGGAGGATGAAGGTACCAAGACTTGAAATACTTTCTTGAGGCTGGTTCTAATTTGCTATATTCTTGGGTAACGAGATGAAAAACGGGTTCAGAAAACATGATTTTTGAGACTATTGTTATGTCTTTCAATAAAATAAAGGGGATGGAGGATTAAAATCAAGAAGGTTACTGAGGTCTGGTATTCTGTGATTGTTAATAATGCCGTTTTACCTATTAAGGACGGGTTTCAAAAATGGGATAGTGTTTTTTTT